TGATCCTCCATTAATTAAAAGATACAATGTGAAAAAAATATTTAACTTTTCTTTTTTCCTTTGAACCTGTTGCACTAAAATAGATCCTCTCTGCATTTAATACTCAGCCTGATCCACTATATGCCTATGTGAATTGCCTTTAAGTTGAACTGGATAACATAAAGTTGATTTAGTTTCAGTTAGGGTTGAAGTAAACTTAAGTAGAACTAGAAATGTTTTATTAAGTTTATCTTGAGTTTTAAATGTAAAAAGGGTATTTTTAACCCCTTTCTGTTTTGCTTATGTTGATGAACCTATAATATGGAAATTGTGCTATTATGTCATTACCCCGTGCACTACTTTCATGAAAAATCCTGGGGAGAACCCATGTTGGCCGGGATTAAGGCTGGAAGTGATCAGCTGTGAATTTAGACACTCTAGTCTTCTTTAGCAGTCCTCTTCTCTCACCTCAGCCTAACTAACCCTTTGGATTATACCAGTGTAACCCTGACAGCATGAGGCACAGACCTATAAAGTCTAAATATTATCTTCTTAACATCATTTATCCTGATATGCATGTTATCAGAGTCTTAGAAAATGTACATTAATACTGCATCATTGTTATGACCTTTCTTAGAGAAACTTAAGTGCAATAAACACCATATGGCAAAGATTAAGGTGAAACCTGCATAAATTATTATATAAAGTAAGATAAGGGTCCGTATTTTTATTGGGAGATGTCAGCAAATGGGACATGCATTTTGCATTTAGTGTTTGGATGATTTTCAGTAGGGCTGCAACTAACGATTATTTTCCAAATTGATTAATCTGTTGATTATTTTTTCCGATTCATCGATTAATAATCGGATTGCCAAAGGTTCCTTAAAGAGGACTTTTTGTTAAATGAAACCAGGTCAATCTAAAACTTTTCCACTTGAGGAGTTCTTGATTAATTAAATAAGTTTCGCCATTTAAACTGCCCCTGAACTTACATTTGGAAGCTCCTGGTTGACAAAGCTAAGCATACAGCCCTGAGAAGAAGCATGAGTTCTAAAAAACAATTAAGGTTATTGTGAGGAAACGATAAAAAATAAAATGAAAGCTGTTGAACAGCGTTAATGTAACGTCTTCCTTTTGTTTCCAAAGCATCAGACGAAACCAAGCGGAAGATGTACAACTCCATCCTGGTTGTGGGAGGGGGGCTCATGTTTCACGGCGCTCAGGAATTTCTGCTTCATCGCATCATCAACAAGATGCCGCCTTCCTTCAGAAGGCTGGTGGACAACGTGGAAGTTATCACACGGCCAAAGGTAGGACAACCAGAACCAGTGGAAAAGCGCTACATTTACCCTTTACCATCACGTATGTATGCTATTTACCCAGGTTTGGGTGTTTTACACCAGCTTACATACAGTATTAAAGTGTCCTGCACATCCATATCAGCAACACCTTTAGTTTTTCAAATATTGTTGAGGTCACTGGTCTCCTCTGTCTTGCTTACATTATATAAAAAATTTGTTTTGTTTTTTTTGCAGTGACCAACGTGTTCAGCTTTATTTGCATTTCTGGCGGAAAGTTCTGTACATGATAGAACAGATCTTCACATTTTTCTTTTTGAGTCTATTCATCCTAATAAATTGCCTTTTGGCCTTTTCATGTAGGATTTGAGGCCCTGTGCCATCTTGAAATGGTCGAGGCCCTGCTTTTTGATAGATGAGTGATTGCGTATTAGGGGTGTAAATAATAATCGTTTTGTATCGATGCATCGATCCAACAGCCAACGATCCGATGCATCGATACGTCTGCAAGAGAATCGATTCATGTTTTTTTTTTTTTTTACCTCCGGTCTATTTTTATCCATTTGCTCCTGGACGTAATTCTCCTCCCGTGCTGCGGTGGCGCTACTTCGCTTGCTGGTTATACTCTTACAGCAGTGTGTTGCAGTAAGCTGGACACAGACATTTTTGATTTATGCCCAATATTGAAGCGTGGTCTGTGCTACAGGCTGTGGGTCTAGATATGGCCGAGGCGGAGAGGGTGTGGGGGCGAGTTTAGTCCATTCACGGAGGGACATGAGGGCCAAAAAGAGCGGAGATCCAGGTGGAAAAAGCGTCCCAGCGTTCTCGCGCACCTCGCTCTTCCAGCAAGTCAAACTTTGCGAGTTGTTTTCCGCAATTTCGATCATAAAAACAAAACAAGCCGGCCTCCTGTCTGCGGCACTGTCTGCGGTCAGCTAAAATTTGGGAGAGGAGCAGCGGAGCGTCTGTGGAGGGGGCGGGGACGTCTGGAGCCGAGGTATTGAATTGCACTCATTACACAAAGCCTTTCAGAATCTATAACACAGGGGTATTATTAGTTTTCAGTGAATGAGGCTTTAATAGGAATAGGTTGAGTGCAACTTTTCTACTTCTGTTATTTGCTGTAGTTTCTAAAAAAAAATGCATAACGATATTACAGCTGAAACATTGTCTGGCCTGTAAGGTAAAAAAATAAATAAAAATGAGCCAATTAATCGAACCGAATCGTGTTGGTTTTTTTGAGTATCGAAAATAATCCAATCGTTGGGTCAGGAAATTGATACTGAATCGAATCGCCATGATGGGTGTGATTTACACTCCTATTGCGTATGAATGAAAGTTAATTTGTGCTTGATCTATTTTAGCACAGCGTACCTCGGAAAATGTTTAAATGCATGAAAATATGGTTCATAGATATGATGGGGATCATCAGACTGAACAATTCTTGGAAAGAAATTACTGCCTCTGGCCTCTTCTTTTTGAATGACAGAGGAGACTTTGAAAATGTTGGAAAAGGTTCTGTTTTCAACTTCTAATTGTACTATGGTGGTGGCACACTGCCCTGCATGCTTGAGGTGTTTCCCTACTTCAGCACGATGATGATGATGTTGATTTGATTTCAGAAAACCCTGTTAATCTGCTATCAATTAATATCAGGAGTGCAGCAGCCTAGAAACATCCAAAACATGAAGGGCAGTGTGCCCTTAGATAGATGCAGCTGTTTCTATTTAACTGAAAAAGTGGAAGAAAAAAAAAAAACTCCACAGTGCAGCAGGTGGCTTTAAATCAAATTAGCTCAGTCTCTTTATTATTTGGGCCCTCTATCTCTTACATAAGTAGCTTATTTTTCATTCAAATATACCCATCATATTTGGTGCACAGGAACTGGTAACGCACAGGAGCTGTTCATTAAAGGCAGCTCGGCCCCACATCTCTGATAAGGCAGATAAATGAATGCAGAGATCCCCGTAGTGACTTATTGATTCCTTTTCCATTCTCAGAGCCCAACTTGTTCTAATGAAATCAGCTGTTTCCTCTTCTATTGGCTTCCCTCTCTTATTTTACTAGGGAGGCATCAGGACATAGCAACAATAGAAAAAAAGCATTTTTTTTTTTCTTGTATTAAATTAAACAGACACAAGTTTATAAAACTAACGCATTTATTGAATTTTTTTTTTTTTTTTTTTTTTTTATGCAGGCATGAGGCCATAGCACAGTTTGCACAGCCTAAGCAAAAGCTATTTCTACGTATTTGTGGGATTAATCAATCTAGCTGATATTTAAAACATTGCCCCATAACAACACAGGTACATATTTGGGTGGATTCTATTTTTGATCCTGCCCACCAAGTCAGCTCTTTATACCGTATAATAGTGATGGGTCCAGCAACACTGATGCGTCGGGGCATGAGTGGAGACCGTACAGCTAAACACTGTATCGGTGCGCATGTCATTTCAAGCAAGCTAAGAGACCGATACAGGAGTTTTTTTTCTAACTGACTGACACACTAACCTGCTTTTAAAAACGTATGGATCAGCCTGAAAGGAATAGGAGCTTTGCGCCTTTATTTATATTTTCTCGTTGTGTCATACTTTTCCTCTCAGTTATCACTCAACTTATCTGAATTAAAGTTCATTTCAAATTGGCTTAGTTTATTTACTGTTTTTATAGTACTTATTGTTTTAAAATCATGATTTTAAAAACGTAATCCACAAGCATCCTCATTCACATTTTCCCCTAAATTTCACGTTATATGTTTACATTTTTTATTGGCTACATCTAAAAACATGAAGGATATTTTCAATGTAAGCATAGATATCAGATACTACAGTATAGCCTACAACATTGTATTAGGTCATCAAATCAATTGAGTTTAGTCTGTCAAGTAAGCTGCCTGTAGTGGCTTTAAAGGTCCAGCAGGTGTCAGTGTTCTGGGACAGCATTAAGTTCTTGTTTAAAACTTTGATTTTTGGTTAATGGGGCAAAAGACTTTTATACATACATATTTAATGCATCGCTGACAGACTTCTCATGGGAAATATGAAACAAATAATTGAATCATGTCATAATGTATATTCTGGTGTCCTTGTGTTGAAGGATATGGACCCCAGGCTGATTTCATGGAAGGGAGGAGCAGTGCTTGCCTGCCTGGACACCACGCAGGAGATGTGGATTCATCAGAGCGAGTGGCAGCGCTTCGGGGTCCGAATGCTCAGAGAGAGAGCCGCATTCGTTTGGTGAAAACAAAAGGGGCTCTGAAGCTAAAAGTCAGTTTACACAGAAGGTAGACTGGAGGAAAAAAAAGGACATTTTTTTTCTGAATGTAAAGCTGTATTCTGACATGAAACGTTTCTTTATAACTACAGAGGTCATGTTTGTCACCAACTTACTTGCTTACATTCTGTTAAGAGCCCTTAATTTCCCCATATCCATGCAGCTTTGGAGGTGTAAATAAACCTAGACTCATTTGACAAGAACTATGACAACATTTGGAAGAAGTTAACCTTTACTTTTTAAATCAATTATTACATTTAGGTTAAACTGAAATTGTCCCTTTTGCCTGATCTTATTTTTTTACTGTTTGTGTGTCTACATAACTAAATACAGAAACTGTTTCTTCAAGAAAATTTAGATGTAGTGTTGTGTAATGTGATAAAGAATGAGAACAACTGTTCCTGATTTTAACATGTTCTAATGTTTATGTACAGCAACATGGAGATAAGCCAAGTTTAGTATAGATCATTTATTTAAACAGATATTTAAAAAAGAGAAACTTTGTGATGATCCCAAGGGATGACAATAACCTAGATGCTTTTGCCTGATATGTCTAAGACATGGATGTAAACTAGAAGGATAGAAGGAGAGGGGAAGAAAAACAACAACAGGACTGAGGGATGCAGACAGCTGCTATATCAACCATTCCGGCCCCTAAGCATAGGTATTCCCAGAAAGGCATCAAGAAACTGCTAGCAGCAGTGGCAGCTGATGAAGAAGGGCTGCAGCACGGCGATGCTAAGGACAGACGCTGTGCACGGCCCCACGCCCACACTGTAAGTGTAGGCGTTTACCTGCAATGAAAAGTGGAATCACAGGGTTATTTATGTTCTTTAAAATATCCTATACATTTTTAAAAGATTAAGTTGAGGTAAAAAAAAAAAAAAGAAGAAAAAAAAAACACTTGATCGTGAGCTTTATTAAGAATAAACATGTCTCACCTTCCTCATCCACCTCCACCCATTGGTGGTGGGTTGGGACCTGCTCCATGAGTTATTCGTCCCATCCGCCTTCTGCCACCAGGGGGACCTGGAGGTCTACAAAAAGTAAGTGAATATAACTATGGAGCTTATTAACCCACACATGGACAGGTAATTAGCAACACCATCTTTGCAGTTGCTTTTTATTTAGTAAATTAATGTGGTTTCAAAGTATTCCTAATGAAGACATAACTGGCAAAATATGTAGTAGCAATCCTCTTGTTGCAAAGCTATTCTTAGAGGTTTTCTGTGTCAGTAAGGAAACACCAGGACTTCCGGTACCTACCCTCTGCCATCACTGAAGCGTGATGAAGCCACGTTTCCATTTCTTGATAAATCAGGGTGGATTATCGTCCTAAAACTTGTAGAAAACAAAGAAAGTTAGAACAGAAATGGTGTGGAAGAGTTTTCTGCAAATGTACTCGTTTATATGATGCGTATTTAGAAAACACCCCCAACTGCGATGTTCCACAATGGACTAATTTAAATTTACTAAACATCTTCACAGAATATCATCCTAAGGTTAATTTATTTCCATAATTCAACAGAATTATACATACATGCATCATACAGGGATACATTTCAAGCAGTTATAATCCTATATTTGAACATTACATTAAGACAAAAATATTTTACACAGAAAAGTCAGTCAACTGTTACTCGATTGCTTGAACACTTTAAATTTTCCATTCATATGCCGTAATACAGCACACTGAAAAATCAGCTTCTTATGATCCATAACAGCAATTAAATTTAAAAGTCTTGTATTTATTACACCTTTGTAAGATTAAACATTTTGAAGAAACCAAATTTTGAGCTTCATTAGCTGTGAGCCACAATCAAAAATAACAGCAAAAACAACTGAAATATATCACTCGGGGTAAAAATGAAAGAATTATACGAATAATTGTAATTAAAAAATGGATGTAAACTTGTACAGATCAGCTTACTGCTCTAATTGAGATCTTTCAGTAGATTGATTATAAATGTGGATACTACAGTCTAGTCTAATTGATCAGAAATTTATTGTAAAAGCTCTTTAGTTTTTTTTTTTTTTTTTTTTTCCAATACAGCAGCAAAGTTTTCAATGAACTGTACAGGTTAACTTACAAGAGGCTGATGAACTCCACTGCCCCCCAGAAGAGATCAGTCAGTAAGGACAGGCTCCAGGGGGACTGGGACCTGCTGTCCAGGACCTGGCCTGAGGAACACACGACACGGTTTATTACAGTTTAAGCAGTAATATTTTAGTCCTCTATCATTTATTGGTGAACATATCACCCCCTAGACATCGCTTAGAGGTAATATTCAGGGAAGGAAATCTATTTGTGGGTTAAAATAAACAACTGATCACTATCCATCTTTAAAGTTCTACATTATTTTGTGGAGGAATATGTTAAATGGACACAAATCCTATAAAGATTTATATAAACTGCCAGAGTGCTAAGCTAACTTAGCCAGTAGAAGCTAACAAACTAAATAGCTAAGTTGGATTTTGCTCTCACAATTACATAACCTGGTTTTCTGGGTATTAAAACATCTTTCTATATTTGTACTTTTACACAAGCCTGTATATCTCATTAAATTTCAATTTTGTAAAGAAATTTAGATCCACTCACCGTTGGACACGTACACCATCTCTGGTAGGCAAAACACAGCTGTGTTTACGCTCAGCGCTATGCTTCCGGGTTCGTCTTCTTCTTGTTGTAGGATTTATTTGCGGCTGGCAAACAATTATAAGGAGCATTACCGCCACCAACCAGTAAGGAGTATGGATAAGGACAAACAGGCTCTAAAAAATAGAATAATAATTCCTGGTCTGTCTGTGTGGGTCTGCTCCTTTCTGTGTTCGCCGGTGGAGGCATCATGATGATGTGATGGGAGGGGATGAATTGTTGGTGGCTTGTTGTAAATAGGACAAGAATTAATAGCAAGACATAAAGGTGTTATCGTTTTCAAGGCGCTCCTGATCATTTTTCGGTAAAAACAGCTCATATAATCATGTCAACTTTGTAACATACAGTTTAAGCGATTTCTCTTTTTACAAATTTGTAAAATAAATACATTAACGAGGTTTTCTTACGCTGTTTTGTCTGTCTTTTTATAAACTTTTTAAAATTCCTTTTCCTGCCAGTCTTTCACTGTGCTTATTTCCCTCACCACAAACAACAAATCCTGTGGAATTGGTCATATTTACTCTTTATTTGCAAAAATTAAAGGAGGGGAACCACATATTTCATCTTACTGAAATAATCTGTTCCCCACTATAACTATATATATATATATATATATATATATATATATATATATATATATATATATATATATATATATATATATATATATATATATATATATATATATATATATATATATATATATATGCCGGGTTGGGATGTTTCCCAATCTGGCAGCTTAGGGTGACCATCTAGGGGTAAAAAATATTTGTCTTTAGATTCATGGCCTAAGAGATCAAGAGATTTTGGTTCAAATTGGACGCTGGAAAACATGAGTCAATGACATCTGGCAACTCTGCTGATGTGGTGAGTGGTGCTAGATAGATCGGTTAATCCACAATGTGTATTCATATTGTTTCACATTTGAGGCGCACGCGTTTGACACGTTTTTAAAGAAGATAAAAATCAGCTTTGGTTTGTTTAAATTAAGCAAAGCTGTTTGCCTTTGGGTTCACTAAACCTGCCTACTATCTTCCTCTAGTTTTATTTTAACATTCATCTTTAATTATCCTCCCATATTTGTTTTTTTTTTCTTTGTATGGCTCAGTCTTCATGTTTACTGTCTGCTCTGCTGCTTAACTCCCAGATTGTCTATAAGGTCAATAAAATCAGAAGAACTGCAGGAGGAACGTCTCACTTTCCATTTTTAGAGCTAACTTGTTTTGACACTGCAACTTATTGCAATTCTCTTCTTTTTGGCCTCCCTCATAAATCTCTCCATAAACTTCAACTTCTTCAGAACTCAGCTGCTCGTGTCATCACCAGAACCCCCTCCTTCCATCATATTTCCCCTGTTCTTCACCAACTCCATTGGCTCCCAGTTCAATTCAGAATACAATTTAAAATCCTTCTCTATACTTTCAAAGCCATCCATAACCTTGCTCCTCCATATCTGTTAGAACTCCTTCACATTGTCACCTCCTCCAGCTCCCTCAGATCCTCCTCCTCCATCCACCTCACTGCACCCCCAGCTCGACTTGTCACCATGGGGAGCAGAGCCTTCAGCCACTCTGCTCCCCCAGCTCTGGAACTCACTTCCTCTGCAGTATTGACTCTCTCCCCTTATTCAAAGCCAGACTCAAAACCCATCTGTTCCAGCTTGGTTATTTGTGAATACACTGCTCTTTTCCCTATCCATAATTGTTTTTTGTTCTCTGTTTTTATGTTCCTGTATCTGTATTTTGTATTTCCATCTCTTTTTATTGATTTTTTTTGTATTATTTGTAAAGTGACCTTGAGTGTCAAGAAAGGCGCTGTTAAATAAAATGTATTATTATTAGTATTATTATTATTATTCAAAAACAAACCAAAAAGAAAACAGGAGAGCCTTGATTCTCCTGAAACTGTAAAAGGTTTAATGTTGAATCTATTACCACAAAGAAACTACAACTCTGATTTGAGAATGTATCTGAACAACCTGGCCACATGGCAACAACTAATGCCTTAATAAAATGAATAAACTATCAATAATATCTGCCCCGAGTTTCTCACATTTGGGGAATTTAATGTTAATCTCTAAATAGATAGATCAGTTAATCCACAATGTGTATTCATATTGTTTCACATTTGACGTGTTTTTAAAGAAGATAAAAATCAACTTTGGACAAAGTTTTGTTTAAATTAAGCAAAGCTGTTTGCCTTTGGGTTCACTAAACATGCCTACTATCTTCCTCTAGTTTTATTTTAACATTCATCTTTAATTATCCTCCCATATTTGTTATTTTTTTTCTTTGTATGGCTCAGTGTTGATGTTTACTGTCTGCTCTGCTGCTTAACTCCCAGATTGTCTATAAGGTCAATAAAATCAGAAGAACTGCAGGAGGAACGTCTCACTTTCCTTTTTTAGAGCTAATTTATTTGACACTGCAAGGTGACAAGAACAATTGTTCTGTTAACATGAGCTGTCAGGTCAGACCCCCCAAAAGAGAAACAATAACCACCAATCTGCCAAAGCGCTGTACTATAGTAAAATTAGAATACTTTCTCCAGCTGACTTCAGTTTTAAAACATTTACAAATTTACATCCACTTATTTCAAGACAATTTACAAAAAAAGACAAAAAGATCCTGTTCACATGACTTGAATCAAACCTTTATTATAGTGAGAAATAACAGAAGATAGAACGACAGGAAACATTCTTCAACAGAACCAGACCCAGTAGGGGGATTTATTATAATACAGTCTTATAAAATAGAAACAAGTCCCAACAAATGTCATCTAAAGGCAATTAACATGACAGCTTTAATACAGAAACATGTAACAGAATTCAACACAAACAGAATCAAATTGAAAAACAAACATCCAGTCCAGTCCAATCCTATTTACAACATGGTGAAGATAAATTCAGCTTATTATGGAGTTTAGAGAAATGTCTTCAATCCAAGGAAGCTCAGCCAATCACATCCGGTCGTTAATTTTGCAGCAGTCCCTCCTGAGCAATGAAGTGGTCACAGTAGAGAGGAAAACTAGCTTCAAACAGGAAGGAACCTCCATGTCAGAGCCCATCTATTGACGTCCAACAGACACAGAGGCGCCGGTCCAAGGAACAGATGACCTCATCTGGAAAAGAAGAACAGGAGTTAGTGAAAAGGGGAACGCTGTTTTTTTTTTTATATTGGGCCCTTGATTTGACCTTATTACATCATGCTCTACTCACGCATGAGTTTTGTGTCATTTGGAGCTGTTCTGAAGATATTCTGTTAGGTTATATCCAAGTAACGTCTTCCTATGGGCAGATGACTTGAAGGCACAAACTAAACTGTTCATAATTTATTCTTCATGGTACGCCAGCATTCATAACATGTAGGCGAATCACTGTCCCACAGACATCCGCGGTTATATTTTTTATATTTATATATTTTAAAAACAAAGCGGTACGTGTATGATGTCATCCACGCGCCGGACTGGAGTTGTGACAGGCAGCCCGGGCCACAGGCGGCTACGCTCTACCCCTTCTATTCATTCCGCTAGCTAATCTGAATCGTTCAATTCCATTTCAAGACAGAGGTCATCTGTGGTAGCAGCACTAGACATCTTCCAGGCATGTGAGTAAAACTAGCAGCAGTTCAGCGGACAGGATGAATGAATATAGCCGGCGCACGGATGACGTCATACACACTCCGCTTTGTTTTTAAAAGAGATAAATATAAAGAATATAACCGTGGATGTCTGGGGGACAGTGATTTGCCCACATGTTATGAATGCTGGCGTACCATAAATGATAAGTTATGAACAGTTTAGTTTGTGCCTTCAACTCGTTGCCCATAAGAAGACGTTACTTGGATATAACCTAACAGAATATCTTCAGAACGGTTCCAAATGACACAAAACTCATATGGGTAGACCATGATGTAATCACGTAAAATCAAGGGCCCAATGTAAAAAAAACGGCGTTCCCTTTTAATCAATAAGAACATTAATCTGTGAGCTAAAACAACTCAACAAAAAAACATAAACAATGCTAGTGGTTTGGTTAGTGTTAAGATAAAAAAATACTATTGTAAAACATCCTATACATACAAAAATACATTGAGACAAACGTTTATATATAAGACAAATGTTTATATGATTGTGTTCTCCTGTCTCTGCATCAGCCTGAGGACCATTTTTTCTGACTTCACCATCACATTGAGGACTGATTGTTGTAAAGGGGGACATTTTGCTGGTCCTCACATGCTATCTTGCTGACAACTAAGTTTAGAACAAAAAAACTACAATATCCTTTAAATCATAAGACTACCATGAAATTGAAAATTTATTTTAAATCTAAATGTTTATTTCACTGTTAAATAGGGCTTAGAATTTTATTTTCAGAAAGTTATCAATACAAAAAATAATTAGCTCTAAATGGTCCTTTGATTTAGTTAATTCTACCACATCCCCTGCAATAAACTGTGCTCCCACTAGGGGGCACACACCCCCACTTTGGGAACTATGACATTAGGTTTAGTTCAGATTAAAAGACATTTTAAGCTGTCAGTAAAAAATATTACTGACAACCAAATTAGAAATAGTTTCAATCTATTAGATATATTTCTTTATCGGAAAAAATAAGGTTTCATTGGCTGATTTGGTAACATAATCATCAATCTTTGAAGTTTATTCACTATAAGGAGAAAATTATCCTAATTAACAGAAATAAAGGCTTGATAACATCAAGGTTTAAATTTCAGATCTATAATTTCTCAGAACCAGAAGCAGAAAATCAAGGGGCCACTTTAAAAACACGGCGTTCCCCTTTAACAGACGTAATAACTGAAGACAATGGATGCTTGGAGAAAATGCCTGGAAATGCTGCAAGTCTTCAGTCGGTCGTTTCTCTGCTTTAATACGTTCTAAAAAAAAACCTTCAGAGATCAACCAGGGGGAAATTCTTCCATATTGGATCAGAAGCTGCTTCTTAACTGTTTATCTGTGGTCTAATGGAAAAGTCAGAACTTCTGATTCTGGTAAAGGTTTGGTTACAGAGAGACAAATAGAGGTGAACATCCATTCATGATGGAAAGATAAAGATTAAAGGTTAGACCACCTTGATGGGATGGTTGTAGCATTTGTATCTGTTTGTTCTGGATCTGTTTTTAGTATCTTCACTAATACTGATGAACATCTGGATGCAATAAAGGTACGTTACCTTCTTCTACTGGGTGTAGCAGACTGATGGTTTAGCTGCGGGGTCGTCAACGTTGTTTTACTCCAGGACTCCAGAATGTTAAAGAGAAATATAGGAGCCATGTCTCTCCTCCTTAGCGGTCTGTGTGCTTCATCCTCTTCTTCAGCTCCTTCATCAATGAAAGCAAAGTGTCCTCAGAGTCTGTCTGCATGTGATGTCTCTCTAGTCAAACAACAAGCAACATACCTCCAAACACGTGTGGATGGACTCTGTTCCGATGTGATCCGACTGCTAGAACACTGCTTCCATGTTCAACCTGCTTTCCCTGTAAAAAAATAAGACAAATTAATCTACAGAATTTCCTCGACACCAAGTTGAAATCTGGGGCAGGATGTTGTTTTCATCATAATCTTAGTCTGTCTGTGTTTCAATGACTGTTAGCTTTTGATCAGGCCTGGGAAGCTTGAGTTGTGGGTTTGTCGTGTTAATAAAGTCTTACTCCGTGTGTTTTCTGTTCCAGTCTTTCTCTGTGCCGTCCTCAGGTGGGGACTGGGAAGCTCCTCACCGTCCTGGATGTCCCGGTTCCTCACAGGAGTTCTGCTTTTGGACGTCCACAGTGTCTGAAATTAACATGAAAAACTAAGTGAGGCCATCTGAAATGTTGACTTTATAATTAAATGATGGATTATTGTTGCTCCTTACTGAATATGCTCTCACTCTTTGTGAAGGTCGGCAGCTCAGATGATCCTCCGCTGGTTTGGTCGCTGCAGATCTCATCAGCATCTTCTGATGGCCCAAAGCTTGGAGAGGCTCGCTCCAACATGGGATTCAAAAAACACAGAAGAGATCCACTGCGGTCAGGACAGGCCTTGATCATATGGAGAATATTTCTGCAGAGGGTTCTTTTCCCTCCAACTAGGCCTGAAAACTAACTGACCAGAGGAACATCTAGAACTAGACCAAGTCACATCGGAAAGCTGTTTCTAACAGTCGGTGCCACTCACAACCAAAACCACTACATGAGTCCTGTCCTCTGCCTCAAACTTGACTAAATCAGTTAGCCCCACCTAGCGTCATCTCTCTACCTTCTCACCAACATCCCAGAGACCAGTTCAACTGATGATCACCACAAGCTGTGTCACTGTCCATTGTATCCAGTTTGTCCCCAGCAGCATCGTCCTACTCTAGATCAGGCTTTCAAACTTCACTCCACCAGAGCTGCTATGCTGCAGTTTTTATTCACATCTCTTCTCCATCAGACCTGAATCAAAGGGCTGAATTCCCTCATCAGTCATTCAGCTCTGCAGAGGTCTGGTAAAAGGCTGTTTGTTTGATCCTGGTGTGTTGGAGGAGAGATGCATCTGAAAACTGCAGAAACACTTCTGTAAAGGACTGGAGTGAGAAACCTCTGCTCTAGACAGCTTCTAATCAACCTCCACTACAGCCTTTTCTCTCTGCCTCAACTCAACTCCACGTTGTCCTCAGCAGCGATGTCCAGCTGTTTCGTTGGATTGGTTTGCCTCCTTGTGGTTTTCAACCAGGATTAATTTTTTGTCTTCTGGTGTTTTTATTTGTTTTTTGTTAACTTGCCTCCACTCTGTGTTTCACCTTGTTGAACATTCTTCTTGTTCTTCTATCAATCCTTTGTTTGTGTTGTCTTCTGTTAGCTGGCAGACTGTCCAGCTTTGATATTAGATGTAGAACATTCTAGATTATTTCTGCCTTAACCAGCTATCATGTACCAAACTATGTTGTCATGTGCTCAGATGTCTGTGCTAAAGAAAATTCTTAACATCTAAACTATCTAGCAGCGGGGAAAAGAAAAGCCACGGTGCAAGACGCTACCTAAGGCATCCCTAGACCTGCCAGACACCCTAACATCTTAAAAAAACCTAAATCTAGCAGCGGGGTAAAGAAAAGCCACGGTGCAAGACGCTACCTAAGGCATCCCTAGACCTGCCAGACTCCTTAACATCTAAAAAAACCTAAATCTAGCAGCGGGGAAAAGAAAAGCCACGGTGCAAGACGCTACCTAAGGCATCCCTAGACCTGCCAGACTCCTTAACATCTAAAAAAACCTAAATCTAGCAGCGGGGTAAAGAAAAGCCACGGTGCAAGACGCTACCTAAGGCATCCCTAGACCTGCCAGATATGAAAACAATCACTAAATTAAACTCCTCTTCTTAAACATCCCTCTCGAGACGAGGCCTCTTCCCAGGGCGCTCCTCTTCATCGTCTTCCTCTCTTCTCCTCTTCCTGGAGACGCGGTCTTCTGGGCGCTCCAGGGACTCCTCTGGCTCCTCGTGGTTCCATGGAAGGCTGAAGTCGGGGGGAATCCTCTGGGTGAACTGAAGATGTGGTGGAAGGTGGCCATCGTCTTCATCGTGATCTTCTTCATCTTCAGCGTCTTCCTCTCTTCTCCTCTTCCTGGAGACGCGGTCTTCTGGGCGCTCCAGGGACTCCTCTGGCTCCTCGTGGTTCGATGGAAGGCTGAAGTCGGGGGGAATCCTCTGGGTGAACTGAAGATGTGGTGGAAGGTGGCCATCGTCTTCATCGTGATCTTCTTCATCTTCAGCGTCTTCCTCTCTTCTCCTCTTCCTGGAGACGCGGTCTTCTGGGCGCTCCAGGGACTCCTCTGGCTCCTCGTGGTCCGATGGAAGGCTGAAGTCGGGGGGAATCCTCTGGGTGAACTGAAGATGTGGTGAAAGGTGGCCATCGTCTTCATCATGATCTTCTTCCTCAGAGCTTGTGTCAGGAGACTCACCAAAACTTGCCCTAACATTATCAGCATTAGCATCAACCTCCTCCTCCTCATTCCGCTCCGCCAGTATTGCTTCTAAGTCTCTACGATTTAGCCCCAACTCTACGACTACGAGGTCTACCTCCTCGCCATGCTCCAGCACAAACTCTATGGCTACGTAGTGACGGTTTTCCCCATCATACCCTATATTCACCACTAGTTCTCTGACTTCCACCTCCTCATTATCATCCGCATTGTCAATGATATTAGACTGATTTAAATTACCCTCATCCTCTATCAAGAGCTGGGGCTCCGGGTCAGGATCAACTGGAAGCGCGGCATCTGGAACTGTTAGGAAAAAAATCGTTGGACCAGGAACATTAATTAAGGAACATTCATTGAAAAGAAATAAATGCTTTATTTTAGGTTGCTGGATGTGCCTGTGTTAGTTTGTCAGGTTTAAGTAGATTTAATCTATAAGAACATCAATCTGTGAGCTAAAACAACTCAACAAAAAAACATAAACAATGCTAGTGGTTTGGTTAGTGTTAAGATAAAAAATAATACTGTAAAAGATCCTATACATACAAAAATACATTGAGACAAACGTTTATATATAAGACAAATGTGTATATGATTGTGTTCTCCTGTCTCTGCACCAGCCTGAGGACCATTTTTCTGGCTTCACCATCACATTGAGGACTGATTGTTGTAAAGGGGGACATTTTGCTGGTCCTCACCAACTATTTTGCTGTTGACTAAGAAAAAAAACCTACAATATCCTTTAAATCACAAGACTACCATGAAGTTGTAAGTTTATTTTATATCTACCAGTAAATGTTAATTTCACTGTTAAATAGAACTTAAAATTTTAATTTCAGAAATTTATAAATACAAAAATAATAATTAGCTCTAAATGGGCCATTTATTTAGTTTATTTCTACCACATCCCCTGCAATTAAACTGTGCTCCCACTAGGGGGCACACACCCCCACATTGGGAACTAAGACATTAAGATAAATTAAGATTAAAGGACATTTTAAGCTGTCAGTAAAAATTGTTTTCATTAAACACATACTACCAAATTAGGAATAGTTTCGATCTATAATATAAATTTCTTTATAAGAAAAAAAAAGTGTCATTGGCTGATTTGGTAACATAATCATCAATCTTTGAAGTTATTTTACTATAAGCAGAAAATTATCCTAATTAACAGAAATAAAGGCTTGATAACATCAAGGTTTAAATTTCAGATCTATAATTTCTCAGAACCAGATTCTCAGCTTATCAGACCCCCTCTTCAGTGCATCCTAGAGTAAAAATAAAAAACTTTTAAAATCAACCATACTTTAACACCTTTGACCATCCTTTAAAGTTAAAAATATATGCTATCTTAAAAACTCCTAAAGTTATTTAATGCATTCTACTCAGGTATCCATGGAGACCAATTTGTTTACCACAGCATGGTTTAAAAAAGACCTTCCTTTTCAAGTTCAAATATATAAAAAAAATCCATTTTATCCTGAAATATTTTTTTTGTATTTTTTCAACCATTTTCACATTAAATTAATCAAAGTTTATTCTCTCAAACCAAACTTTTTCTGTGTTTTACATTGCATTCCTCCCATTTCCAACCAATAAAAAGTAATCGAATACATAGTACGCCTTAAAAAAAAACTTTTTTTTAAAACACTGGTTAAAAACATATCATTTCCTAAACACATTTACTAAACTAAACAACTTGAGATTCTTAATCTCTTTTTTCTTTTTTTTTTAGTTAAAATTCAGTTAACTTCCAAAATACTCTTTTTCTTTTATTAAATAGGAAAATAAACAGTTTGGCTTGATTATATTTTATGTTAAATGTCCTTCTAATGTCCTTTTATATTTATTTAATGTATTTTTACCAACATTTCCATACAGAGCAAATTTATTTCCAGGGCATTTTTTAAAAATAATAGACCTAGCTCCATCTAGTTTTCAAACATTTCACATAAAATTCAACAAAGATGTTTTTCTGAAACACAAATGTTTTTTTTTTTTTAAATAATTAAATCGCTGTTAACATTTCTGACAAATTCATTAAAAAAACACATTTAATCTCTGAGATGTCATGGATGCTAGATGCTAAGCTAGCTGTCACAACTTCATGAAAAAACATTAAACTAATCATTTTTCAATATTTTTTTTTTTTAATTTACATAGTAAAAGAGTGGAACAAACCTTCCAGATGATCTCCCCACAAGTTGTTGTCCTCTGGTGGCGTGCTCATCTTTAACAGTTTAGCAAATCACAGACTGTAGCAGTTCAAGCTTCCAGGTCCAGGTTAGAAATGATCCGTTAAAGATGGCTGCCACTTTTACAGGTGCTCCGTTTCCATGGCAGCGGGTGAGCGTGCGCACGCGCGCGTGCGTGAGAACAACTGGAAACCTTGCTAATTGCAGCTAATTCGCGAAAAACAAAGCATGTTTTTTGTGCAATAAAATAGTTTCATGCTCACCTAAAGGTGAGTTCAGTCAAAGCTGCATTTAATGAGGCAAAGGAGCGAGTTCTAAAGCTTACTGTCCGCTTTCTAAGTGTTTCTACTTTAAATATTGTGCAATAATTCTGAATTTAGAAAGAAATTTCAATCCGAATGAGAGAGGTGTTTTTTCCCCCAATCGTTATTCAGTTTTACATCCATGTACACACCTATTCAGGTAAGTATATATATGTGTATATATATATATATATATATATATATATATATATATATATATATATATATATATATATATATATATATATATATATATATATATATATATATATATATATATATATATATATATATATATATATATATATATATACATATATATACACACACACATACATACATATATATATATATATATATATATGTATGTATGTATGTATGTATGTATGTATGTATGTATGTGTGTGTGTGTGTGTGTGTGTGTGTGTGGGTGATGTGTGTGTGTGTGTGTGTGTGTGTGTGTGTGTGTGGGTGATGTGTGTGTGATATTTTTTTTGTGCTTTTTAAAATGTTTTTTTTGTTGTTTTTTTGTTTTTTTTATTTGTTTTACAATGTTTAAATGACAAGTGAAAAAAGTGGTGGTAAAAAAGAAAAAGTTAGAAAAGGTGACACCCTAGATGGGTGTCAAAACAAAGAGTGAAATAAAGCTTGAAACCGATAGTTTGGTTGGAGGAGGTTTCATCAGGTTTCAATGTTCCTTTTTAGAGCGTTTAAAGAGATTTTTCAATTTTCTCCCAAACGTTTTCTTTTTAGGTTTTCCTTGTAAGTTGTTGATCTTCTCTGGCTGATTTTTCAGTTCATCCTCTTTGCTTTCTGTTGACATATTCTCCTCCTGTAGCTCTTCCAGAGCGTCTTTGGATGCTAAAATGGTCTCTTGAAGGCAGGTCTTCTCTGATTGCTGCTCCTGCCTTTCATTGAGTAGACCATCTTTCATAGCTGCTTTCTCATTCCTGAGTGTTTCCTGCTGCTCCAGGAGTCTGAGTCTTTCCTGGTCCCAGAGGTTTTTTTGTTTCTCCATATCTTGCTCCATTTTGACCAAAGCAGCCTTTATTTTACAGCTTTCCCGCATTTTCTCGACTAAAGATGTCATTGGTTGCATGTGTTTAGCCTTCTCAGCACCCAAAGTCATTTCTAGTTCAGTGGCTTTTTTAGCAGCATCTTCATGGCATTGGTTCATTTTCTGCTGCTCCAAATGGAGAGCGGCTTTCTCCTGTTCTGCCTCAGCTTTCTGTAACTCCAGCTGCTTTTTTAGCAGCTCCACCTCATCTCTTTGGTGTTGGCCGGTCATGAGTTGGGATTTTTCCAGCTCCCACTGTTGTTTCTGGTTTGCTAAAGCTGTCTCTGTTTGGATGAGAGCAGCTTGAAGGTTAGATATTTCCTCTGTTTGCTTGGCTAAGCGGTCCTCTGCCTCTTTTGCTCTATTTTTTACTTCAGTAAGGTTTTTCTCCAGCTCTTCTGCCTTTTTGATGGCATCTTTATCTTTGTTCCTCTTGATCAGCTCGTTGTAGAGTGCAGAAACCTCAACCCCATGTGCAACTTTCTGCGACTCCAGCTGAGCTTTCAGCTTTTCTACCTCGGCTGCATCTTGTTTGTTGGTGAGAAGCCGGCATTTTTCCCGCTCCCACTGCTGCTTTTGTTCATCAAAATCTTTCTGCATTTGTAGCAGAGTAGCTTGTAATGCAGACGTTTCTTCCATCTGCTTGGCCAAACAGATCTCATTCTCTCCTGCTTTGTTCTTCTCTGACATCAGATTAACTTTCAGCTGGTCGGCCCGTCTGATGGCGTCCCGTCGGCCTTTATCTGTCCTGATTTGTTTATCATGCAGAAGAGCAAGTTCGCTCTCATGCTCCGTTTGTAGATTCTCTATTGTCTGGTTCAACTTCATCACTTCCTCTGTTGAATCCTTTTTCTCCGGTAAAACATCACGTTCACTAGGTTTTAAACAGAGCTCAGTTTCCTGCAGCTTTTTCCTTGCAGCTATTAACTCAGACTCAAGCTGCTTTGCTCTCTCCGTTTGTAGCTTGTTCAGTGTATGCATTTTAGAAAGCTCGCTACCGTAAAACGTTATATTTCCTGAAAAGCTGGTATTTTGTTGTTGGAGTCCTGAGATCACTGTATCTTTGAAGATGAAGGACTTTTCAGCGTCTTCCAGCTTTTTCCTGTCAGCGGTTAACTCATTCTCAAGCTGCGTCACTCTCTCTTTCATTTGTTGGTTCTCTGTCTCTAATTTATGACACTTGTTACCAAGATATCCTATGTTTCCTAATAAGTTGGCATTTTGTTGTTGAATTCCTGAGATGATATTGTCTTTGGAGCCCAAAGTGGCATAAAACTCAGACTCTGGCAAAGTAATAAGCGGTGTAGTGCTTGTATCAGCGGTTGGTGTCCTAACCAGGGCCGGCTGCGATGGGGTCACCACAGGATTGGGGATACAGACTTCTCTCCAGGAAGGTCCAACTGCTCCTAATGCGATGTTTTCCAGTTGGATCTGACCTTTCTCAGGCTGGGTAACAGTGGGATTTCCAGTATTGTTTGGCATTATCTGACCAAATCCAGGAAAATCTTTCATACTGGCTAATGGCACAGAGTTTGACTGACCAGAGCTGGTAATGTTGACGGAGGAGTTTGTAAATTTCAGGGTTTTTTCCAGATTCCTGAGTTCCTTCAATGTAGATTCCATTTTTCTAAAGTTTGCTTGTTAGTTTTAAACACAAAGATTTTTCTAATGACTGATTTGTCTTCACAGTAAAACACGTAAAAGGGTAAATCACTCGAGAGCTCTGAACACTACAAGGGATTTACACAGACTGGAATGGAATGTGACCAGCACACCCACTGATGATGTCATAGGGACTAATGGAATGATGTCACCTATGCTTGCCAAAGCTAAGGGAGTTCTTAGTGTAGGTTAGGGCCTTTTGAAGCCATTGGAAATAATCAGTGTGGCCCCGGACCACAATTGAGCAATATTTGACGAGAATATGGTACAACAGAAGTTATAATTTCAGCATTTTACATCACATTTCCTCTGCTTTTAGTTTCTCTGTGTCTCCTAACACTTTCCAGAGATTATCGTAATCAAGTTTTTTGTCAACAATTTTTCAGGTTCTTGCTTTGTGAAGCCAAGACATAACATAGACATCTGGTTTGAACATTTTGAGAGGAGGGCCAACAAATATGATAAAAATGACTTAATTACATTAAAAGATGACTGACAGCCGTCATATTTTCAGCCTTTGTGATATCAGTGACCTGAATTAATAGGCTCTTCAAAATGAGCTATGTAGCTAATCTTTACACTGTGCAAGACGGTTAGATTTATGTGCATGTTGCTGACGTATGCATCTGATGTCAATTTAGACCTTGAGATCAGCCGTCTGAGCCAGCCGCCACTGTTGGGATCTGGAGCTGTACCGCCTGCCTCCAGCAGAGTTCGCTGTGGATCCTCCTGAGTGGAGCCTTCGACACACCTGAAGCCCATCTCATCATCATGAGGATCCTCCACCATATAAGCAGCCCTCAGACCTCGCATCAACGCCGCAGTGTTTTATCCAGTTTGGTTAGCACCTGAGCCTCTCTACCTCTGTGAAATCTTTGTTGCCTCTAGTCTCCTAGTTGGATACTAATTCCCCTTTTTGCCTCTGCCTACAGGAAACCTGTTTTTGCCCTGTAAGCTCTGGATGAGCTTAACCTGTCGAGCCTGCCCTCTGAGCCAAACCTGAAGACCTTTCTCTGGATTCCCATGCTGCTCTGGACGAAGAGCTGGAAAACCAAGGTCTGTCCTAACGTTAGATGCAAGACGCTGAAGCTGAAACTGAACTCTGCTGAATCAAACAGTCTCTGGAACCAACAGTGCCTCTCCCAAAGCCAAACCCGGATTCTTCAAGGTAGATCTCTGAAGATAACATTTCCACATTCATCTGCTACGTGGCTAACTGAACTGTCTCCCTTCCAGTATCCTGTGAACCAGATCCCCAGACGTGAACCTGAACCAGACATATACATATGTACCTTTGTTCAATAAACTTTGTTAAACTTTTACTCCAGTTTCCGTCTCCGTGAGTCTCATGACAGCCACAGCTGATCAAAAGCAACTGAGGAGGCTACAAGGCACAGTACACCATGGGTGTGAGGGACCGAGGTAAGAAGCACGAGTCTCAGGGATTAATTCAAAAATTGTTTGTTTTTTTTACCCATAAAACAAACTTACAAAAAATACATGGGTTTGAGTCATACCAGCGGGTTGGGTACACAAAAAAGATAAAAATCTTACTCCAACAAACTGTGCCCAAACTAAATGACTACATGACCAAGCATAACTGACCAAACAAAGAAATTAAACAAAAGGGTATATATATATATATATATATATATATATATATAATTTATATCTTTCTCTCATTATATATTAATATTCATATTTACTCACTATAAAAGTTTTCACTCAGTCTGTTTCTCTCTCAAGGCCACACCATTCCCTGCAGAATGTTGTTTGTAGACCAGACATAGCTTCTTCCCATAACAATCCAGATTCTTTCTCAAGGTTTATTCTTAACATGTTACTGTTAAGCAAAGTGTGTGTAATTTGTTATGACTCTGACTGCTTTCGATTGTTGTAACTAGGGGGGAACGAACCCTGCCCAGATCAGAAGAGAGCAGAATGCTGTGCCATGATGACTGTTCTCTCTTTGCAAAGATTATTAATAAATGTGCCGACTGAGTGAAATCCATCGATCTCCGTTTATTTAACTAGGATGAACAGTTGAATACTTTTTTCCCACGACAATTTGGCGTTGTCAAGGCAGTTCTCTTTGACTGATTTTTTTCCGAGGACAGCGATTGTCAGAAGTGTCAGGTACCAGGAAGCAGTCTTCCAGCCTCAATACCC